TGCCCCGCAACCTTTTCTCACCTGCGACGCACAAAAAATCTTTCTGGAATTTCGTGGCACACCAAAGAGTTCCGAGTTATCAAGGAAACGCCGAAAAAATTCAAATGCTGACACACTTACAATCACACACACACAACCACACAACAGTGAAATATATAAAAACATTTAAAATAGACATTATTAAGGAAAAAAATTGTCATTGTGTATTAATTACACGATAAAAAATTGCAAAATGTCAAATACATGTATTTGATTGCGGCACACCTATATCCTACTCATGGCACACCGGTTGCGAAGCACTGTTATAGAGTAACTACTCCCGGGTGAGGTTTGCTGTATCCTTAAGGTCATTGTCCTGTTGAAACACGAATGATATTCCTAAGCTAAGTTTTTGGGCACTGAAGTTTCAAGTTATAGCGTAATATGTCAGTGTACGTACGTGCGTCACCATGAAGCGTACCATGTACGTACGTGCTGCTACCATCCAATGAAGTACAGGTTACCAACTCCATTTGAGTGGTGCAGCCATACAGCTTCAAACTACAATGATCCCTCTACCATGTTTCACGCTCGGTGTTAAATGTTGTTTTTACAGTTCGTAATTTAGGCCTTTCTCCACACATATTGTCGTCCATAAATTCCTAAAATGTTAAACTTCGATTCGTCGGAAAAGATAACTGTGTTCCAAATCTCGTATGATAAATTAACATGAGATTTTCCAAAATCTAATCTTTTGTTTATTTCTAAAATGAAAAGGTTTCTTTCTAGCTGCCCTTCCATAATAACTCCCTTTAGGTATAACATTCCGTACAGACTGTACACTGAAAGTTTTATGCGAAGTATTAGAAACACATTTGGCTAACTGGGGTGCATTTACTTTAGGGTTTTTCCTAACCTCTTTGATCAACACTTCTAACAGTAAATAAACTTAGGTTCAGTTGTAGTCCTACAGCAAGATACGTTAAATCCCTCATTTCTGAGCTGAATAATCATGTTTCTAACATTAATATCCAACTCCTTCGATTTCGAAGCCATTGTATCACAGTATTAGCAAAATAAACGTTTAAAAAGTTTTGGAAGTATCACTGCAGACTTTATACTAACAGAGTTTCTTGTCAGACTAAATATATGACCTCAACATAACAAAATTTGCATAGCAGTTAGAACTTTACCAATACTTTGTAGAGTTCCTCACTTTGGAATTCTAAGTTAATGTTGGAAGTGAAGAATATAAGAACTGATAAGCGAATAATCTCTTGCGTTCGGTGACAAGAAACAACAAGATAGAAGGGTAACTAACCCTTTATTAATTAATTCCAATAAAGATTTAACAAAACTCCGCCTGGGAGTGTACAAGCAAAGCGCACTTGGACTTGAACTTAAAAGACTAAGAATTAAACTAAAACTAAGATTAACTAAAGAAGTATAGCCGAAGGTATCAAGATTCAAAACGAGTTGACCCCTTAACTTATTTGACTACGAAGCTTAGCAAAGGCCTGAGTACGGCCGAGCGTAATAACAGCTTTGAGAGAGAGAGAGTGGCCAAAAAGGCAGACGCGCGTAAATCAGAAAATCTGATTCTCTCTGAACTTCGTGGTTTAAATACCGCTCCTCCTTATTAAATATTCAGCAAATTCCAAAACTACGTTCTGGCCGGAAGTAGTAAGTTGAAGTTAAGAATTTGACAGGAAAGGAACTTTAACTTAAAATTTAACTGTTAATAAAATTAATATAATTCTTACAACTTTTTTGACATGCAAATTTACGTTTTTGTTGAATATTTTGTATAAGAGGCAAATTAAAATGAATATTTCATTAAATTTGTGTGTTTATTACCTCCTGCGTTTGTTATGTCCAGTAAAATTGTCAAGCATTTCCTTTACTAGCTAATATGATCAATTGTAGGCAATTGCCAGTACTTTTTTTTTAAATTCACTGTAGATGCCATAATACTTCTCAGGAATCAACGCTATTAGCTGGACTATGAAATGGCTTTGAATAGCTGCCTTTGCAAACTTTTTGTGAGAGGATATTGTTACTTTAAGAATCCACGTGTGTGTTTGAGTTGTCAAGAGTTATATAGGAAAATGATTGCGTCGATCAATGAATCTATCTTATGGAAACTCTTTAAAAACAGCATTTTAGAGAAGCTTTAAAAATAGCATTTTGGAGAAGATTTAAAAGCGTCGAAGCTGATATAGTTTACAAAAGGGAAAGAAATTAATCTACAGGTATGCTTAAAAAATTGTCTTGCTTTAAATAGAATGTGATGATCCACCAATTTATTTAAACTTTTCTCTGCTGCATTCACCGATATCATTATTTGTTTTCTCGTTTGTCGCAATGTCTTCTATTTTATCTACAAAATAAGCATTCGAGAGAAGACTTCTAAATGAATGTAACTAATTCCACAAGATGTGTGAGTTTTATGCTTCTAAATTCTGATTCGGTTTCAAAATTTTTAGACAATTCTGAAAAGTTAACACGTATTTTACGAGAATCTTCAAAACTTTCCTTTAGAAAACCCATATTCAAACTTTCTTCCTCATATTCATTGAGAATAGCAACAGTTTGCTTCATAGTTATATTTCCTCAAATAAGCGGCAGCTTCGAATCGAGACCCAATTTCCGTTGAACAATTTTATAAGCAATGTTTCGCGTTTAATAGCTAATATCAACAAAGTTTCCCTTTGTTTGCATCTATTCCGTAAATACGAAAATTACGTATCTCTGATAAAGGTAGTGTAGTGTTGAATCGTTGGAGCTTATTATTTAGTTAAAGACAACTAATTATCTTTCAGAGCGAAACAAACAAAACAAAAAAAAAAAATTAAATAATAAAATCCTAAAGCTTTCAGATTTTACATTATGCCCAAAGGGGCGTTTTTTTTTTAACGTTTTGTGTGTTAGCTTTATTTATTTAAATATCACGTTCTTCGTACTTAAACCATAAAATTCAGTTCCACAGCAGTATCGCAAAATAATTTTAAAATGAGTATATCTTTTCCGATATAGAGTTTCGCAAAGTTAGCGTTCTGTTGCACTCATATAAAGTGTTGCAAATTATATGTGAAATACTCTTTTATAATATTCAAAATTTGACTTTCGAACTGAAAAGCTTTAAAATTATAATATTATTAATACACATTATTGTTTTTTACTATTTCATAAATTTTAAAAACAAAACAATGATAAAATATTTTTTAAGTAAAATAAAAAAATAGAAAATATATTCAAATATTGATTCTCCTAGCTTTAGCAGCTACAAACGCGCGTATCAATTCCTTTATATTTAATTTATCCAAAATTCGCAGAGTTAGATACAGAGTTAGAATGGAGATAATTTTTTTTTTCTCCGTACAGTGTGGCTATTGCTCGCTTTGAAATCGTTGAGTCTGTTAATCAAAAATTCATAATTTGTAAAATGTTAAAGTTTTACAAAATATGAAATCGATAAAACAAATTCCAAATTCGGGCTTCCAGATGCCCTATTCGGTGGAGGATTCCGTTATTCAAAATTCGATGGCTCTAGGTACCGTTGTTTTATCACTATGCGAGAAACATACGTACATTTATGCAAATTCTTCATTGTTTAATTTATACAGGGCGAGTATGGGCTCTAATATTTGGCGGCAACAATTTGGAAAGTGAACCGACATTCATAGTGAAGCAAAGCAAAATGTCGAAACGAAATTAATAGCCCTTCTCGGCTAACTCCCTCTGAAAGGTTTCAGATTTTAAATTAAGTCCAAAGGGGCGTTTTTTTAAATATTTTGTCTGTTACCTTTATTTATTAAATATCCTTTCTTTGCACTTAAACCATAAAATTCAGTTCAAGAGCAATATCGCAAAATAGTTTTAAATTGAGCATATTTTTAGAATTTTCGATACAGAGTCTCGCGCGCTGGAGATAAAAATGTTTTTTCTGTGCAACGTTACCATGGCTCGCTTTGAAATCCTTGAGTTTGTTACTCAAAAATTCATTCAAGTTTTACAAAATGGGAAACTGATAATAAAACAAATTCCAAATTTCAAATCAGGACTTCCAGTTGCTCATATTCGCAGTAGGATTACGTCATTCAAAATTCAATGGCTCCGTGTACCGTTGTTTCATCATGATATATGCATACATTTATGCAGATTTTTCATTATTTAATTTCTTCAAATATAATGCAGGAATCCAACATTTGTTGGCAACAGTTTGAAAAGTGAAACGGACATTTATAGTGAACCAATGCAAAATTGCAAAACGAAAACAATAGTACTTCAGGGACAAAGCCCCTTTGGACTAAAAAAAAAATTGTACAATCCCATCTAGCAAATGTCTGTCATCGAGAAACTTCTCATCGTATTAATATTATTGATTAATATTGCAAAATTACATTGTTTATGTTTAATATTTAAGTCTAAGTTTTACGAAACTAAATTACTGCCATAATCACGGTTATAGTAGTTTAGTAGCCCTAAATATAGCATTTTTTTAGAGATTCCTTTTTTTATGACTGACTATCCTTTTTAGTGAGAGAAAAATGAGAGAAATTATGAAGAATTACAGAATGATTTTAAAGCCTGAAGCCAAATAGACGTGAGAGGTAATCACGTTTTTATTGTGAACAGGCAGTAATCCTGTTCACACTAAAACTTCAAATGTTGATAAATGATGAAATACTTAATCAAAAGGAATTTATAACAAATATACGTTTTATATACGAATACGTTTTATACGTTTTATATACGAATATTATATTATATTTATATACGTTTTATATACGAATTTATAACAAATAGACGTGAGAGGTAATCACGTTTTCATTGTGAACAGGCAGTAATCCTGTTCACACTAAAACTTCAAATGTTGATAAATGATGAAATACTTAATCAAAAGGAATTTATAACATACATAAAGATACCTTTGCGGCATCAATATACAGGAACTTACGTGAAATGTTTTCGGGAAATTTTTAAGAAACTGATAATCAAATGAAAACCAAATTTCTTACTTCGAAATCGAAAGCTCCGAAGTTTAGGCGAATGGAGGTATTGCTGTTATCAAGTGGAAGATGAAGTTGCTTTTGCGACACAAACTTTATCAGAAATCCAAGACACGTAATCGTTTAATTTCTAATTTCAGAGTGGTGAAGCCACTGAAATTCTTTCTGTATTAAATGGGTGGCTGGTTTTTCTTTAAACTTATCTACGATTGGGTGGTTCCAGTTTCAAGCAACTTCTTCATCTCCTCCCTCGGTTGGGTTTCCTGAAGCGTCTCGTTTCGAATTTTTGTTTAATATGGCCAACGCTCTTCGAAGAAAGTGAAGATGACCTCTAAAAAAGAAAGTTCGGAGGTCGGATTGTGCCCGAGGCTCCGGTCGGAGCGGTTTCATACGAGTTTAAGTTGAGAACTATCTCTTTGACAAAACATCCAGACGCTACTTGAATAACTAAATACCCAGACTCAAGTCAATAGCCTCTTACATATCCTAACCAACACACAAATTTAAGGAAGTAAACTATAACTTAAAGTTGCGACGTCATAAATCAAAGGAAATCTTCGTTCACCATCTTGTGTTTGGCGAAAATTCTTTTGTGCTGAAAGCTGATGAATTTTACGATTTAGAAAACGAACGAATTTAGTTAGAAATATACAGCAAAGGAAACGCGAGACTCAAATGTTGAAATAAGGATAGAATATAAAATATCGTAAAACTTGGATGACTTTAAAAATTGCAATCTGTTTGAAAAAATGTTGGTAACTAACTCTTAAGCCAAAATTAATATTAGCTTCTTTTTTTGTCTTCTATTACCTATAGACAAATATGTAAATACCTGATTAATACTAAGTTTTGCTTCGAAAGCGCCTAGTGTGGAACTGTTTAAAGGAACGGGATCCTAAACACATGAGGTTTTCAAACCTTCACCTCATTTAAGGGGTATCAGAAACCCCTATACCGACAATGTTAAATTGGCCATTTTCGATGTACCTTTTCTCAAAATCTGCTGTAGATACAAGTTTGAAATTTTTTCTATAATTAAAGTATACCTATCTGATTATACTGAAATAAGTTTTTGAAGATTTTGAATTTTAGAGTAAATTACAGAATATTTTGTTAGGAAACGGGAATATTTGTTGTATAGGGGTTTAGCACTTTTCTCACACAAAAAAATTGTTAATTTTTTTCCTAAGTTTATTACAAAAAGCTCATTTTATTAAATATTAGAGAACCTAATAAATAAGCCATAAAAAGTTTAGATACCTGTGAGCAGTAGTTCCTGAGAAAAGTATCGAGTATTAAAAAATCACGTTTGGAGAAAAACGCGTTTTTATGTAAAAATCCTCACTGATCAAAGCAGTAGATGACAAATTGAAACTAGATTTTTTTTTTACAGTTCTAACTTTCATAGAGATTAAAGAATGGTATTTTTAGAAAGATAAAAGTGTAGAGAGTTTGAAAATGAAAAAATCCGAAATCACAATGTTTTGAAGATTTTGGGGTTCCAACACCTCTTAACACGTTGTGGCTTTTTCGTGTGATTTATTAAGAATAAAATTTTCATTAGCTCTTGCTTTTGAAGTTATAAATTTCGATTTCTTCTGATTTATTAGATTACGACAAAATGCACTAAGACCATATGCCTAAAATTACAGATTTAACGAGAAGAAATACGAAGGCGATTCATAAAATTATATTTCAACCATGAAAATTTTATGCGTAATTTATACGGCTTAATCACACAAATCCATACATAAAAATATTAATTTTATAAACAATTTTCAAATATTAATGAGTTATTCACAGAAATTATTAATAGTTTTATTTTAAGGTTAAACAAAAGTAGCAAAGCATATTACTGAATACAAGCCAACTAACTTTTTTAAAGACTATTATGCCTAAATACATAATGGCATTAAAATTGTTACACACGTGGACAACAATCGTGACATCAGTGTGAAAGAACACGCTAGCCTAGGATAACGCAAATGATCAGCACTTTGAATGCGTGTATTGCAGGAAAGTGTTGACACCTCGACGCAACATAAAGGAAATTGAAATGACCACTTTTGATTCGGAAATCGCGTTTGTTCGTTGTTTTTTAGGTTCGAAGTCGAGTATGGCTCATGTACGTTTCTGAATTTGTAGCCAGGGCCGCTGCGTGGGTATTAGGCGCCCTTGTTCAAATTGAAATTTGGCGCCCTTTTGTTGGATTATATGTGCTGCAAATTATATGTGAAATACTCTTTTATAATATTCAAAATTTGACTTTCGAACTGAAAAGCTTTAAAATTATAATATTAAAACACGTGGTCTTAATGTTTTTTATTATTTCATAAATTTTAAAAACAGAACAATGATAAAACATTTTTTAAGTAAAATATAAAAATTAGAAAATATGTTAAAATATTGATTCTTCTAGTTTTAGCAGCTACAGACGCGCGTAGCAATTCCTTTATATTTAATTTATCTAAAATTTCGCTCTCTATGGATATAACTGACAAGTCCGATAATCTGTCCTGCGCCATGGTACATCGCATGTAGTTTTTTATAATTTTAAGTTTTGAAAAACTTCGTTCTCCAGTTTACTGGTGGAGAAAAGGAAAAACTTATCTACATATCAATAGATTCGACTTTAAAAATCTATATTTAAGCAATAATTGTAAGAATAGTTCACTTTTTAGTTCTAGGTCCCTGTAGAATATCTGGAAGTTTCTCACACAGATATACACACTTTAATTCCATTCAGAACAACGTATTTAAGTGAAAAATCTTTCTGAACGTATGTAACAACAACAACAACAACAACAACAAAAACAAAAAAAAAAAAAAAAAAAAAAAAAAAAAAAAAGAGAAAGAAACAAATTAAATGCAGAATAGGAATTCGATTTCAGATAATATAAACAGAGCTATATTTCGCCAGTTTGTGTGAATAAAAACGCAACCACACTCCTGTTACTAAATATAAGGCAAGGCAAGGCTAGATGAACTCTGAAGAAAACATTAATGCTATTAATGAGTAAATTATATTCGTTTTATGTTAGTTAAAATTACAATAATTATTTTTAAAAATTTTCTTTACATGAAGTACCTATGCGTATTGATCTACACTGGTGTGCAAAAATTAAGGACGAAGTCGAAAAATTAGCATATCAGCTGAACGAAGAGGCAGAGCGGACAGAAAGACCAATCAGGAGATTAAGTAAGGTGATGTACGGTAGCACATGCGCAGATATGCAGGTAGACGTAATGGGGGAGTGTCTGAGTAGTATAAAGCATGTTGTCGGTGTAAGATCAGTATTTCTGGCAAAGAGATTGCACGCCGTATAGCAGTTAAAATCACACCGAGTTGCTGCCTCAGTGAGAAATGGCGAATAATCAATCTGTTAGACGACATCTGGATGCTTTTACCCGAGGTCGAATCAGTGGGAAGTTGGAGGAAGGCCGCAGTGTGACAAGTGTGGCTGCAGAGTTCGGAATTGCTCACAGCATCGTTTCACGACTTTGGAGACAATTTCAAACTACAGGAACAGCTATCCGGGGGTTTAGTAGTGGTCGTCCACGAGAAACAGGCGGCAGACAGCGGGAGAAATCGCTAGACACTGGACACTGACCACTGACCACCGACTGAACGACCGATATCGCGTTTTACCGTGGCCAGAAGACTGCACGGTGGTGGTCTGTTGCACGACGCCCTTTACAGTGTGTACCTCTAACGCCTGCCCATCGGAGAAGGCGTTCTCTGTGGTGCCGGGAACACCGGAATTGGAGAGACAATGAATGGGGACGAGTACTCTTTACAGATGAGAGCAGATTCAGTCTGAGTAGCGATTCTCATCGCATACTCATCTGGAGAGAGCGGGGAAGCCGCAATCATCCCTCGAACATCATTGAAAGGGACAGGCATGGAGGTGGCGGTGTTCTCGTTTAGGGAGGCATCATGTTTGGTAGTCGTACAGACCTTCACATCTTCGACGCAGGTTCAGTCAACGGGACCCGTTATTGTAACGAGATTCTTCTTCCATATGTGCGTCTTTTTAGAGGCGCTATGGGTCCGCAGTTCCCTTTCATGGACGACAATGCACCATGTCATCGACAGTAGCTGCCGAACAGCTCTTAGAGAGTGAGGATATTGAACGTATGGATTGGCCGGCACGATCTCCGGATCTCAATCCCATCGAGCATGTACGGGATTTTCTAGGCAGACGCTTGGCAGCTCGTACCTTACCACCAGTAACGATTCCGGAGCTTCGATTGGCGCTGCAAGACGAATGGGCAGCAATGCCTCAACAACTCATTGACACCCTCATTCTCAGCATGGGCAGATGCTGTGAAACCTGCCTAGCAGTCAGGGGAGATCATATCCCCTATTAAAGACCGGATGTTTCTTGCTGGACACCCATGACAGGGATGTTTCGGCCTTCAGTCGCATTGCGCGCCATGCTACTTTTTCAATAAAGCTTCTTTTTATCCCTCTGATTTCTCTTTTAGTAAGTGTTGTTTACATTACTCATGTCCTCATGTATTGGGGATCTTACGGTATTAAATGTGTTGATTTGGAAAGCTTTTGTACAAAGTTATATTAAAAAAATTGTCTCGTCCTTAATTTTTGCACACCAGTGTACTTTAAATGTTATTTTGATACATTTTTTCTAAGGTTGGAATGGAGTTTTTTGTAAAAACCCTTATATTTTTAAGGATTCTATGAGCTGACAAGGGTTGAAGACCATTGATCTACGTCATCCGTCATCGAAAATAATTTTCTAAAAATATCTGCACAGATGCGATAGATCTACAACGCGAAATTTTGCTCCTTATTAAAATTCTCAAAAATAATCTGATACCTAATCAATTTATTAACCATTGCCTTAAAAGAACAGGCGTTCAATACTCACTCTGAATCATTTAACTGATAGGAGTATGATAATTTGTTCCTAAACCTGAGAAGGCGGTATAAGTTGGATGACTATCAGTTGAAGGATTTGTACATACTGTAATTACAAAGCTGTATATAATGTAAAAAGCTAATTGTCTTCAGACTTATGCTGTTACTAAAAAAACGGGCCTATTTCATAATCTTTAGTCTTCAGACTAAAGATTATGAAATAATAACAAATAGCAATCAATAAGAAATAATCGAAATAAAATATAAAAATCAATATGAAATAATGACAAATAGCTCTTTGACAGTGAAAAATTCCTTTTTAGAGTAAATCCGCAACAATATATTCGTTATTCGCTCCAGATCTAGGTGTCATATATTATTGTGTTGTCTTATTCATCTGTATTATAGCTCTTATGTATTGCTGAGGTATTTCCTTACTTCTGCAAGCCTCATGACCTATCTGGTGAAACAAGTGAGAGGTTTTGCATTTCTTTTCTTACATAACAATAAACTAATTATGGCGATAAAAGGTAAAATTAATTGCGTCAGGAGGTGTGCGTCCAAGAGCACGCAGATAAACCGCAAGCTCAGCGGCAACAGAAAAAAAAAAAAAAAAAAAAACCTCTCTTACACGAAGTTTAAATTCCTTTCAGACTTTTTCCTTTTTTATAATAGTACATACTTGTTTTGAGTGTTGTGTTATTTTACATAGTCACATAAAGTTGTCTACAAATATATTAACTATCAGTTTTTCTTAATTATAACACATTTTATTCTCCTTTCCTGCAATTTTAACTGCAGTCGTGATAACCGTCAATGGACTAAACCGCGATTGTATTTCGGTGAATCTTCAATAGTTGCTTTTATATTACCAGTCATGATACAGATTTCAAACAGCAGTTTGTTTTGTTTCGAAAACAGCAGTTAACCTAGCAGGCCATTGTGTTGTTGTTACAAGGGGGAAATATTTTCATCAATTGCTACCAGAAGAATATTGTCTCATAAATTTCAAGTTAAAAAAATTGAATATAATAAAAATAACCTTAAGAACACTCTTCTTCTCTTCTCCAAAGAAAGATGCGATATTTATCATTTAAATGTTACAATATTATATTTGCAACTGCCACATTACTATTTACAATTATGGAATGGCGGGCGGCACGTGGCAAAATGGCTGGTCTCGAATGGCACGTGGGCCTTGAATCAAAATTATTTCTGCCCACGAATATATGTTTCGTCCTACTGCTCCACCTGCTGCTCTTCCAGCAGCTCCTCTTTCTGCTCCTCCTGTTGCTCCTCCTCGTGCTGCTCCTCCTCCTGCTGGTCCTCCTCGTGCTGCTTCTCATCTTGCTGCTCCTCCTCGTGCTCCTCCTCCTGGTGCTCCTCTTCCTGCTCCTCTTCTTGCTGCTCCTCCTGCTGCTCCACCTCCTGCTCCTCCTGTTGCAGGAAGGTGGAGCAGCATGAGGAGAAGCAGAGCAAGAGTAGGAGCAGCAGGAGGGGGAGCAGTACCAGGAGGAGCAGCAGGAAGAGGAGCAGCAAGAGGTAGAGCAGGAAGAGGAGTACCAGGAGGAGGAGCAGCACGAGAAGGAGCAGCAGGTGGAGCAGCAAGAAGAGGAGCAGCATGAGGTGCAGCAGTACGAGGAGGAGCAGCAAGAGGAAGAGCAGCAGGAAGAGGAGCAGCACGAGGAGTAGCAGGAAAAGGTGCACCAGGAGGAGGAGCAAGAGGAGGAGCAGCAGAAAGAAGAGCATCACGAGGAGGAGCAGCATGATTAGCAGAGCAAGAGGAGGAGCAGCATGATTAGCAGAGCAAGAGGAGGAGCAGCATGTGAAGCAGGAGGGAGGAGCAGAGCAAGAGAAGCAGCAGCATGAGGAATAGCAGAAGGAGAAGCAATAAGAGGAGCAGCAGGAGGAGGAGAAGCACGAGGAGGAGCAGCAGAAAGAGGAGTAGCACGAGGAGGAGCAGCAGGAGGAGGAGCAGCACGAGGAGGAGCAGCACGAGGAGGAGCAGCACGAGGAGGAGAAGCAGGTTTAGCAGGAAGAGGAGGAGCAGCATGAGGAGAAACATGAGGAGGAGCTGCAGGAGGAGGAGCAACAAGAGGAACAGCAGCACGAGGAGGAGCAGCAAGATGAGGAACAGCACGAGGAGGACCAGTAGGAGGAGGAGCAGAAAGAGGAGCTGCAGGAGAAGCAGCAGGTGGTGCAGGAGGAATGAGCAGTAGGACGAAACAGTATATATTCGTGGGCAGAAAAAATAATTTTGCTTTGGGCCTACGTGCCATTCGAGACCAGCCATTTTGCCACGTGCCGCCCGCCATTCCATAATTGTAAATAGTAATGTTGCAGTTGTAAATATAATATTGTAACATTTAAATGATAAATATCCATCTTTCTGTGGAGAAGAGGAGAAGAGTGTTCTTAAGGTTATTTTTATTATATTCAATTTTTTTAACATAAGAGCACAGATGAATAAAATTTATGACACCTAGATCTGGAGATAATAACGAATATATTGTTCGGGATTTTGTATTTGGTTACCAATTTTTAGTAGAATTGTAATTAAAATCGTTTTATTTTCCCGTGTAATGCAGCGCACAACGCGTTTTAAGAGAAGCTACGCCGAAAAAGTAAAAACACTGGAGCATGCGCATTTAATAATAGATATCTGGTAATTTACGAGTATATTTAATCTGAATAAATGTAATTGACTACTGTGTTAACTGTGTGCGCAATTCTAATCTTTTGCTTTACAGAAGTCGCGAGAAAACGGAAATTGCCAGAACCTTCTGGTGCACGATTAAAAAGTTTTAAAATGCCGGAGAGAAATATCTCAGTTCAGTTGTTTACGTAACTGTTTTGTTGATTGTAGGGAATTTGCAGTGAGATCGGATTAGCTTTCTCTGAATGCGTTTATTTGCGTTTTATTTGATGTTTTAGTAGTTTAAAATGTAACTACAGCGGGATAGTGTATGATATTGTGATATTGTACGCATATCTAAGAGGAAAAATCCAGCATTGTGTTTTATTTCTTGTGATAAGAATAAATTTTGGCACCCTCTGGCCCAGGCGCCCTTGTGCGGTGAACAATTTTGCTAACCTCACGTGGCCGCCCTGTTTGTAGCCCTTTAGTTGCGGAAAACCATACTGCTCAATAGTTCCTAGCATTGTTCGGGATCCAATGATTGCTATGAGAATTTGTAATCGACGAGTAGATACAGGGAGACGTGTCGACTCTTTGTTGATCAAATACAGCCTTTCTACTTCAGAAGCAAATATTTTTGCCCAGGCTCCTGTGTATGCAACGAATGGGGTGAAGTAGTTGTTCCGCAAGACAAAAATCTATAAAGAGAAAGAAGGGTTAGTAATGTCAAGGGAAATCATTTTATCAATTTTGCTAATGCCAAACACTTTCTTAGTTAGCAGCAGAAACGCAAAAATGGTTTAGTGATGCCATATTTCCTCTGAAATTTTATTTCGCACCTAACTGTTATTCGACTGTTATATTAGTTCCGTACCGCCATATGACTCATTTTTTTCCTGCTTTCCAGATAGTTCATTTTTGGTTGCAAATTAAATTAATTTGTAATAAATTAATTAGTAGGATTAAAAAGAATTCTTTGTGATTTGTAAAAACCAATTCGCAAATTAGAAAATATATTTTGCCATTTACAGCAATTTTTTTTAACGAGGATATAAATGGTATGATTTTTAACGAGGATATAAATGAGATGAATTTAGGGGGAGAGCACAAAATCTAGAAATGTTAATTTTGAGGTCGCCAATTATTTTTTTTAATATAAATTAAATTATTTATTGATACGAATTTTTGTGCCCAATTCTCTCCCGAAAATTTTCTATGGATGCCTGTGCCCAGAACGCTTATGAAATATTCATTTCAGTGATTAGAAAGCCTGTGAGCTAAGTCTGTATGATAAATAAAAGTTGGCAAATAAAATATGCAGCACCAACAAAAAAATATTCAAGATATTGAAAAGTAGACTATACTTTCTTGCAGAATTTCGACTTATGTGGATGATTCTTCTTTTCGTTCCACTCTTGCATTTATTTCATTAGTAATATTTTTCTTACAAAGTTTTGGTTGGATTTTATATGCTTATAAAAATCACTACATGAATCTTTGGAATTAACTTACAAGCTTAATTATCACTTTAACGTTGACATTTGCAATCAACTTCTTTCTGGATACCAGATGTTGTATATAGTTGAAAACACTTTTTTTTTTTTTTTTTTTTTTGTAACTGACGTATTTAACGGCGAAACTGATTAACTGATTAACCTGAAATTAGTCTCGTTGAAAAATCTTGGACATTTTTTTATTCCGGACAAAGGCACAGTAAATCTCGAACAGTCTGGTAAACATAGTCTTGGAGAAATTACTGGCGAATGTTCGGGCTGCTTTATATAAATATTTTCAAGTTTAGAAATAACATTTAAAAATTTGTATGACATACAATTTTAGACCAGACACGTCCATAGCTCTTGAAGTTTCTTAGAGGTAATTTTGAGATTACTTCAAAAGACTCCAAAAACGTCGGAAAATGACTTATTTTCTTACTAATAAAAATGCTGATTTTATTTCTTATTTTAAAAAAATGCAGTACAAAAATACGATAAAATTCGCTAAAGCCAGGCATTTTTGTGAGATTTCATATGCTATTGCAGTACCATGTCATTCTGTAGATACTATTTCAGTGGCAATAATTCTATTTCTGTCTTAACATAATAGTAGTTCCTAAAACAGAAGATAGATGGCAATAGCAGCTTTTGTCTTCAAATTTGTAACCTGAATTTATTAAGAATTCTCAAGAAATGAATAATGTCTAATACAAAACGAATAAGAAACTTCAATCATTCCTACAATTCTTATTTTATTTAAATTATTTTAAAAGTTTTGACAATAATTTCAAAAGTAAATGGATTTATTTTTAAAATTAGATAAGATTTTATTTAGTTTATGATACTGAAACTTATGTGCAAAGTCCTTACCCTGCCATATTCATTAGCGTAAAAAACATGCGATTACAGACTTCAAAAGACAAATTCGAAGTTTACTAATCTGCAAGTGGCAACAGTAATTTTTCTGAAGTGTAAATGAATCGAGGTTAGAATGAAATGAATTGACAAGACCGAAAATTACGTCACTCATTTCGGCGAGACATCGTAGGAAGCCTAATTGCGATAACGTTTCATCAACGCAAAAAACGGTGTAACGTATCTGCCCTTCCGGTCCGCCGCCCCCGCAAAGAGTAGCTTGAAAAGTTTTCTCCAATCGCGTGCACCGGAAACTCACGTGTAAAAATTTTTACGTCACGACGTAGGAGTGTCGCGCTCGATTTGCACCTGTGTTTCTGTCAGTGCAAATATTTTAACATTCCTCGCAACTATTTTTTTCCGGTTAGTTCACATTTCGAAAGGGTAAGTTTTTTTTTAATACGTGTTTTTCAAGGTGTGTTTTGTTTATATTCCGTTTTAAGGAACGCGAAGTTTGAAAATGTAATGTGTTTGAATTCGGTGAGGTGTGTCCGATTCATAATATGCAAACATATATTTAGACGAGTGCCATAATTAAATATTGCCCACCGTATTGTCTGTAAACTGTATTTTGCTAATTACGGACGATTTATCGATTTATAATCCTTTATATTAAAGCCAATTAGATAAAGTTATCTACTTTAAAATTAATTCAGTGTTTTAAACTCATTTACGATGTATTCTGTCAAATGAATGTGGAATTCTGTTCGATAACGTGAAGAAAACATTAAAAAGCTTTTGAGGCTTTGCAAGATTTCTGCTTTCTCTGTTTAAAAAATCTATTTTGGGGGGAGGGAGGGGGCGTTGTTTCATTGCAATGAACTTCCAAGTAACTCCAAAATTTCATGGCCCACCAGCGGCCGAGCGGTAAAGACGCTGAACACTGGTAGTTCGGTCTGAGGTTCGAATCCCGCGAACGGGCTGGCTGCATGGGCGTTTTCGTGGTTTTCCCCATGCGTAACGTGTATACGAGCCAGTTTCCCTTAGAAAGTCCTCCACGAAAGGCATCCCTCCCTTTAGGCAGATAGCCCTCGTGTGCTTTGCCATAATTAAATACACCACACCACACCAAAATTTCATGTTGCTCTTAATTTAAAATTTTAATGCGACATCATAGTTACCTAAAGCAAAGAACAATGTTAAATTTTCTACTTGTGATTTTTGCTTCAGTTGATTTGTGATTAATATTGTATTGTATTTTTTTTGGGGGGGGGAGGAGGCTAGATTTTACCCGCTGAAGTTACTGGCTAAAAGTCGGTCCTCAAATACTTAAATACGTTAATCATTATTTCCTTTTTTCGTTATTTCTTCCCGGTATAGGATTTTAACTTGCCGCATTGCCTTTCGAAGCCAAGTGTCTATAAGAGTTTATTACGGCCGAGCCAAGTAAGTAAATCTGCTAACGTCTGAAATTATCATAATAATTTATTTATTTTGCTAAAATTTGTTAGAAATGTGTGAAGTCATGTCTTCTATAGAGACTCATCCAGTTTCTACCGAGTTTGAGTCACATCGAATCTTCGCGAGACGGATTTTATGGGGTTACTCTGATAGTAATGGCAAAAAACACTGCACT